TGGAAGCACAGAGCAGCCCTCAGGCTGCCCAGCACCACTAACGCTGGCCTTCTGGGAAGCTGCAGGGAGAAATGGGGAGGAACAAAGGACTGCCCAGGTTACTAGACAGTGAGTGGATTTGGGAAAAAAAAAAGAAAAAAACAAACAAAAAACCCCCACTATGTGACTATGACCGTCTTTTGAGTTTTTGGGATCCTTTTGAGATGACAGCCTTTCAGCTGCCATCACCATCAGAAGCACAAGAAAAGGCGAGGGGGGATGGCACACAAGAATTAGCTCTATTCAATTTGGGTTTCTATTCCTTGTGCAACACGACATTATGAAATAAGTGTTACCTCATCTAGACTCATTAGGTTACAAAGTAATTTCAGGCTGCCTAAAAGCATATCCTTACAAAAAAACAACTTTCTGAACGTGCTTAGAGCGTACTTCCAGAACGAAGCCAAGAACAAACCTGCATCGTACCAAGGGGAATCGCCTCTCTTTTTCTTCCGCAAATACACCCAGTACATTTTAAGCGGCGGTGATGATAAAAGACAAGACATTGTGTTCCACACCGCACCACAGCCCCCCATGGAACACGTCCTTCCGGCGGCGGCCGCGCGGGCGGGGACAGGCGAGGACGCGCTCCCTCCCGTGCCCGCGGCGCTCCCGCCGGAAGCGCCGTCGCGGGGCGGAGCAATCATGGCGGCCATGGCGGCGGAGCAGCGTGAGTTGCGGCGGCTCTCGGCACTCGCCGTGTACCGCCGGGTGGCGGGAGCCGGGCGGATGGAGCGGCGCCGCCGCGGGGCCCCGCTGCCCGCGGGTCGCAAGCGGGCCAGGGCGCGCCTGAGGCGCGGCCGGGCGGGAGGCGGCGGCTCGGAGCCGGAGGTGCCGCCGCCCGCCGCGCCCCCGAGCCGCGTGGAGCTCCCCGTGGAGGCCCCGGTGGAGGCCCCCGTGGAAGCCCCCGTGGAAGCCCCCGTGGAGGCCCCCGTGGAGGCCCCCGTGGATCCTCGGCCCGAGGCGACGGCCGCCGGGCCTGACGCGAAACGGCGGGGTAGCCCCAAGGCGATGCCGGGCCGCCCGCGGCCGGCGCGGGAGGACGGCGGCGGTGTGCCGGGGCTGCTGCGGCGGCTGGCGCGGCTGGAGGACAGCCGGCAGCGGGCGGCCCAGCTCTTCCGCTGGCTGCTGGCCCCGGTGGCGCCGGCGGAGTTCCTGGGGCGGCACTGGGAGCGGGCGCCGCTGCTGGTGCGGCGGGGCGACCCCGGCTACTACGCGGGGCTCTTCTCCACGGCCGACTTCGACGCCGCCCTGCGTGGAGGAGAGGTTCACTTCGGCACCCACCTGGATGTGACCAGCTATGCTGAGGGAGTGCGGGAGACGCACAACCCCTCCGGCAGAGCCCTGCCCGCCGTCGTGTGGGACTTCTATCAGAACGGCTGCTCCCTGCGCCTCCTCTGCCCGCAGGCCTTCTCCGCCACCGTCTGGCACTTCCTCTCCATCCTGCAGGAGCAGTTCGGCAGCATGGCAGGGGCGAACACCTACCTCACGCCCCCGGGTACGCAGGGCTTTGCCCCCCACTATGATGACATCGAGGCCTTCGTGCTGCAGCTGGAGGGGAAGAAGCACTGGCGTGTCTACAGGCCCCGAACAGATGCTGAGGTGCTGCCCCAGTTCTCCAGCCCAAACCTCACACAGGCTGAACTCGGTGAGCCTGTGCTGGAGACTGTGCTGGAGGCCGGGGACCTGCTGTACTTTCCCCGTGGCTTTATCCACCAGGGTGATTGTCTCCCTGATGCACATTCACTCCACATCACTGTGTCTTCCTACCAGAGGAATTCCTGGGCGGACTTTTTGGAGAAGCTGCTCCCAGCTGCCCTGCAGATGGCCTTGGAGGAAGACGTGGAGTACCGGCGGGGGCTTCCCATGGACTACCTGCGGTATATGGGGGTTGCTAACTCCGACGCAGTCGATGCTCGGCGAACGGCCTTTGTGGAGAAGGTGCAGAGCCTGATAAAGAAACTTGTTGACTATGCACCCATCGATGCTGCTGTGGATCAGAGAGCCAGGTCGTTTCTTCATGACTGTCTCCCTCCAGTGCTCACTGAAAGTGAAAAGGCGCAGAGTGTCTATGGCTTCCCGGCCCGGTGGCAAGAGGGAGGCCCCTGCAATGTTGATATCCTGATAACAAAAGACACCGAAGTACGCCTGCTCCGTCATGGCATCGTTAGACTGTGTAATGAAGAAGCAGGTGTGATGCTGTACTACACTACAGAAAACTCAAGAGTGTATCATAAGGAAGAACCCAAGTTCCTTGAGCTAGATCCTGAATATACAGACAGTGTTGAATTTCTCTTGTCTTCCTATCCAAATCATGTAAGTGTGGCTAACCTTCCATGTGAAACCTTGGAGGAAAAGATTTCTCTAGCTACACTTCTGTTTGAGAAAGGTATTCTGACTACGAAGAAGCCTCTGGCAAAAGTCTAACTCTTATTTTTTTAGAAAATAAAAGTACATTTGTTTAGAAAATGTTCTGTCTTGGTCTTGCCTTCCGTCTGCTAGATATGAATCAGCAGTTCAGGTCTCTGCATCTCATCTGGGGGTAGAAAGTCTATGTCATGGACAGAGAAATCAAATGTTTTGAGTAAAATAAGTATTTGCTTTAGGAGCAATTCTGCGTGGCTGAGTGCCTAGAGAAGAGAATTGGTTATCTTCTTTTCACCAGCCATGTTACTACACCCTAGGTAAGTTCAGAGAGGTTGTGAACTCGCTTGTAGTCATCGTCAGGTTTTCACAGTATTTTAAAGCAGCCTGCTCAGCTGCATGCAGGAAATACTGTTCATAGGCATATTTGGTGATGGTCACCATTCTGTGTGCCTTTGCTGGGCTATGCTGCATATATGGTGTGGCCTTCAGGCCTGTGCCATGTTGTAAAGATCCCTTTGTGACACATTTGCTCTTGCTAAAAGTGGGGCCTCCAGGCAGCTTCCACTCGGTTTGAGCAGTTACACCCGCCTATGTGGCACTGCCCTTGCTGAATGATGCAGTAAGATTTTCTCAGGCAAACATGATGTTGCATTTGAACTGCTTCAGGCTCGCTTGCTTCCTTTTCAGTCCAGTGACAGAGATAAAATATCTTCCCCCACTGGTTTCCCCACAGCAGTCTTTAGCAATGAAATTATTGGTCCTTTCAAGGCAAGTGGGTGCCTTCCAATATGTTTGGGGTTTTTTTGTGCTGGGTGAAAAAAGTTTCATTTTAGGACCTATCAAGTTACATGAATACATGCCTGGCTGTGAGGTCAGTTCCCATAAATACTGGCAAACCCCTGAAACACTTATCCACAATGCTATTTTATCATAGCAGTCAGCAGGTGAGAGATACTCTTTAAAGCCTCCTGAAGTCTATACCCACAGTGAGCATTACCCTGTGCTCCTCTGAGCTGTTATCCATGTTTTGCAAGATGACACCCATACACTCTTAACTGTTTGGGATTTAAGTGTACACTATATCCTCCAAGATCCCATACTTGCAACACTGCCAACCTTTCCTCCCTCTTTTGCCTAAGTGCTTTTGCTAAATCTTGAAAGCTGAGCTGTGTAAAATTGCACAAGATCATGCTGAGGTGCCCTTGGGGCCTCTTGACTCTGTGAAGCACTAGTGGTTGGACAGAAATGCTGTTGCCATACTCATCCTCTGACCCCCCTGTCTATTCATCCTCACCAGAGGGTCAGCCATCCTTACCCCACCATTTATGTCCCTGGTGAATATCTCATGTCTCAGTGGTGCCCTTCCTGGATTGCTCTGTGTGCAACCACAGGCACCAGCAGTGCAGCTTTGCTGCTTGGGGCTGTGCTGCAGAGCTGAATCTGGAGCTCATGCAGCTCTTTTTGCGATGGCTGCAAGCACCCCCATGTCTGTTCTGAGCACTTTAATGCCAACCAAAGACAGCATAAAATCCCCTTAGCTTTTCCTTTCCCTGGACTCTGGAAACCTGTAAGGGCTAGACACCTTACAGGCACTCCTCGCAGATTTACACAGGGGTAGCCAGGCACAGAGTTTCTCTTTTCTTCATTGCTCTTTCTGCAGAAAGGTATTTCTTGCTGAGACTTGCAGAGTATACCAAATTTTTTTAACGAGGAGGTGGTGGTCCATTATGATCCCAGTAAGAAAAGCATTCATATTTTGTAAGGTATCTAAAAATGCCATGTATTATAGATAACACAAATCTTACATCCCTATAGATGCAGAGAACCCCAAGCAAAGAAGCATTTCCCCACGTCACGCAGATGTGGTTCATAGCAGAGATTGGTCCCCCTTCAGTCTTTTAAGGTATTGTAAGATTCTTGTATAAGGAAACAGCTCTATTTAGCATATCTACAGTCAAACAGAAACTGTTTGTCTTTCTGCACTGTTCAATAAGGGCAGGGCCACATATGCTGTGTTACTCAGGTCCTAGGTGGGAGCTACCTGTGGTCTCCTCTGTAAGGAAGAGCTGCCTGAGTTTCCTGTAGGGTTTGGGTTCTGTGCAGGGCAGCACAGGCCTGAAGGCCCTGTTGTGCAGGCAGCACAGCACAGGCACCAAAGGCATGTCATGTGCTCCAGAGGCCACACTGTGGCTATTGGAGGGGAATGTTCTGCATCCCATAAGGCAAGGACCATGCTGATGGTTCCAAGCAGTGTAGAAACACAAATGAAGGTACAGGGAACATATCCACCAATTTTTGCAAGCGAAGCTGAGGACAGGAGAGTTTTGAGAGAGTAAGACTTTATTTGCTCTCATAATCAGACCCTTGGGGCACAGGAACAGCATCTTTTTGAAGGACACAAGCACCATTGAGTTTCACAACAACTACATGGGGCACAAAAAGTGGGGAGGGGAGTCAGCAGTCCCACATGTGCCTGTCACTTTGCCACTTTCAAGAAAGATGCAAAAATACTCATCTGGTTTAGCTAACATCTGCCAGAATTCTCACCTAGGAAAGGGGAAGGATCAAACAGAGATGCACTGGAAGGGCAGAGCATGAGTACTATTCAGATACCACCATCTCAGAGTGGCTGAGAGGAGACACCCGCATTTTTTGAAGCAGTTTTCATGGATTGTCATCACATGTCCACATGTGAACTCTTAGTCTAGAAAATATTTTTTTAAAAGTCTTTACTGGTGGCTGGCTGTTGGATGTCTGTCAAGCCACTCTTTCAATCCTCTTTAACAACAGGAGGGGTGGAGAAACTAAGAGAAACCTTACAGGTCAAGATAAGGACAGGGAATAATTCATCAATATTTTGCCCAACATCATGGGCAAAACTGACTTGACTTAGAGAAGATTAATTTAATTTATTGCCAGTAAATAACAGAGTACACAGAGAGATATAAAAAGAAAATTAAAACCACCTCCCCCTCATCTTTGAGCAGCATCAGGTACAACTCTGAGCTGGCTGAAACTGTCTCTGTCCAACGTGGGGGAACCCCAATCTCTTCGTACAGCCTCCCACTACCAAAACGGTTCCACATTAGCTCTAAATAATCTTACTTTTCTCTTGCAACCAGAGCTCAAATGGTGTCAAATTGTGCTTGTTCTCTCTTGGCTGCCATAAGGGAACATTTTGCATGGAGTAGAAAAAATTCTTGCGTAGGAGATGCCTGTCATTTGTTCAAAAGAAAAAAAATAAATATTGCTGTCACATGCTTTGTGTGGTTTTGAAAACTCAGCATTAGACAATCTTCCCCTCCATGAATCTTTTCAGCTCAGCACTGATGAGCATTTCCTCCTGTCTCCCAGGTGAAGGGTCCAGGGGTTGGCCTGCTCGGTTTCTCCAAAGGAGGTGAAGTGTCCCTTGCTATGGCTGCCTTCCTGAAGAACATCATGGCTGTTGCTTCCCCAGTGGGAAGCATTCCCTTTGTGGAAAGCAATAGGAAAATTCCCTCTGTGACTGTTACATTGATTCCTCTCTGCTATGATGGATAAAAAACCCCATGCTTTGACATGCACGAACACAAAGCCAAGGCCACCAATTCCAAACTTCTTGATTATTCTGATGTCATCGATGATCCCTTTCAAGCCCCTGGCAACCAAAGCCGGATCCCACTAGAGAAAGCTGAGGCACAGTTTTTATTTATGGTGGGCCAAGATGACCGTGTTGTCAAAAGTGAGTATTATGCCTCTGAAATCTGCAAGCTTCTGCAGGCTCAAGGGAAGGGAAATTTCCAGATTCTCTCCTACCCTGGAACAGGGCACTGCATAGACCCTCCCTTTTTCCCTTTGTACCACACAGGAAGCCACCCCGTTTTCCACAAGCGAGCAGTCCTGGGTGGGGAGCTCAGGGCTCATTCTAAAGCTCAGGTTCATGCTTGGTCACAGATCCAGGCTTTTTTCAAAAAGCATTTAATTGTTAACTAATGTGCAACAAATAATGTGCAATTTTGAGCAACGAGATCTGATAAATTCTGCTACATTTATCAGGTCAAACATTGTCACAGCTGTACAACTACAGTGTCTTCCATACCTTTGCACATCCATAAAACAGAAAAATTGATCTTTTAGTTTAAAGCTGTTACATTGCTTATAAATTTTTCCTCATTTTACATGCCTCCTTCAGGTACTGAAAGGTGGCAATAAGATGTCCCTGGAGCTTTCTCTTCTTTGAGCTGAGATGCTTCATCAGTGTCAGGGGATAGGCTGTGATGAGCCTGCCCTGTCGTGGGTGCTGGCAGGGATGCAGTAGTGGCTCCAGGCAGACTTGGCATCTCCCAGGGCACGGCATCTCCCAGCATGTGTGTGCCCACACCATTCCTGCCACAATTCCCCCCACCCCCGCCTGTATGTGGGAAACTGCATGTATAAAAGTAGCCTTGGCTTGAATGCAGAGACAGTGTACTGAACAACTCCGGAGCCATGTGGCAGGAGCCCCGGGACAGCCCCCGCCCAGGGACTCCCCTCCATGGCCCCCTCCATCCGCCTGTCGCCCGCTGCCCGCAGCCTCTTCGATGAGCCGCTGGCCATCGCCGTGCAGGTCAACCCTTGTCACAGCTGTACCAGTACAACTACAGTGTCTTCCATACCTTTGCACATCATAACACAGAAAATAAAGGGGGTTTGCCTTTTCTGTTTCTTTTCCCCTCTCAACCTTTTTGCTCAAGTATCAAGAAAAGGAATGGTGTTTTTTGCATTAATCTTTGATGAAACAGGTCATGTGCAAAATGCACAGTTATGTTTCTTCTAGGGTGGTTTCTATTCCTCTAATACTTGACAGTGCTTTCCATGTCACTGTGGTGTCTACATGCATATGCTGTCCTCAGGTCATACTAATGGTCTCTAATGACAATTTTGGATCAGGGATTTCACTGCTCTTCTGGTGACCCTGTCATTGCAGTGGACACATCTCTGACTTCCATGCTGCTGGAAGTGTGTAAGAATGGCTGCTATGGCCACGATACTGGGCTGTCTCTGGTTAAGCCTTGGGAAAGGTTGTTTGCCTTCTTTGTTGTTGGGGTGAGAATTGCAATAAAGAGTCTGAAACTTAGAAGCCATGTAATCATTTGTTGTGCTTTGGTTAGAAGCAGATTTTGCATCTTGACCACTCTCCCATCCCAGGGTGGATCAAGCACCCTGTTGGTGGAAAGGCCCTGAGGGCCTTCTGCCCCTCCTCAGCAGAGAAGTCACACTCCAAAACATCTGTGTACAACGAACTGCCACTGGCACCCCCAACTGCTTTGCAAGGACAAAACTGGGGGCCAGGGAGCACCACTTCTGTCAGACCTGGAGGGCCCTCCTTTGTGAACACCATCTCTTTGTGCAAGCTGAACTAGCTGTCCTGGGTTTCTCCACTTTGCAGTTGTCCTCCAGGCCAGCTTGGTACACATGGGGCAAACCTCAGAGCCAGCAGCTGCCTCAGGCCTGTCATGTTTTCAGCACCTGGGCGTCACCATTTTAGCCCTGCACATCCATAACACAGAAAATAAAGGGATTTGCCTTTTCTGTTCCCCTCCCAACCTTTTTGCTCAAGTATCAAGAAAAGGAATGGTGTTTTTTGCATTAATCTTTGATGAAACAGGTCATGTGCAAAATGCACAGTTATGTTTCTTCTCGGGTCGTTTCTATTCCTCTAATACTTGACAGTGCTTTCCATGTCACTGTGGTGTCTACATGCATATGCTGTCCTCAGGTCATACTAATGGTCTCTAATGACAATTTTGGATCAGGGATTTCACTGCTCTTCTGGTGACCCTGTCATTGCAGTGGACACATCTCTGACTTCCATGCTGCTGGAAGTGTGTAAGAATGGCTGCTATGGCCACGATGCTGGGCTGTCTCTGGTTAAGCCTTGGGAAAGGTTGTTTGCCTTCTTTGTTGTTGGGGTGAGAATTGCAATAAAGAGTCTGAAACTTAGAAGCCATGTAATCATTTGTTGTGCTTTGGTTAGAAGCAGATTTTGCATCTTGACCACTCTCCCATCCCAGGGTGGATCAAGCACCCTGTTGGTGGAAAGGCCCTGAGGGCCTTCTGCCCCTCCTCAGCAGAGAAGTCACACTCCAAAACATCTGTGTACAACGAACTGCCACTGGCACCCCCAACTGCTTTGCAAGGACAAAACTGGGGGCCAGGGAGCACCACTTCTGTCAGACCTGGAGGGCCCTCCTTTGTGAACACCATCTCTTTGTGCAAGCTGAACTAGCTGTCCTGGGTTTCTCCACTTTGCAGTTGTCCTCCAGGCCAGCTTGGTACACATGGGGCAAACCTCAGAGCCAGCAGCTGCCTCAGGCCTGTCATGTTTTCAGCACCTGGGCGTCACCATTTTAGCCCTTCCCTGCCTATCATGTTTCATAACAGATGTTATCAGCAGCACTGTCTGCACCTCTGGGCCTGCCCTAGCATGGATAAGGTTCTTTGAGTGTGGGCTAGAAGAGAATGTGACAGAGCAGGAGGGAGGGAGGAGCGTAAGTCTCAGGGTAGCTCATGGCAATGCCATGTGCTGTCATTGCACAAAAGGTGCAAGACTGCATGTCCCAGGAGATGCCAGGAGAGCAGCGCTGGCTGGTAGGGCTGTCTCTTCCTGAGATGTTCCCAGGCCTGCAGCTTGGCTGAGTTAGAGGCAAAAAGAGCCTGCAGGAGAAACCCAGGAAAGAGGGATGCAGCTGTGTCTGTGTCCAGTCCAGCAGGCCTGCTGTAGAGAGCAGATAAGCACACTATGCATCAAAAAGTGTCTGGAGAGAGCATCTGCCTTTTGGAAATCTTAGTATCATAGAACAGTTCAGGTTGAAAGGGACCTTAAATGTCACTCAGTCCAACCCCCCATGCAATAAGCAAGGACATCTTCAACTAGATCAGATTGCTCAGAGCCCTGTCCAACCTAGTGTTGGATGTTTCCAGGCACGCGACATCCATTGCCTCTCTGGGCAACCCGGGACAGTGTTTTACTACCCTCATTGTAAAAAACTTCTACCTTATGTCTAATCTGTATCAACTGTCTTTTAGTTTAAAGCCATTGCCCTGCTAACAAATTTTTCCTCATTTTTCAGGCCTCCTTCAGGTACAGAAAGGTAGCAATAAGATGTCCCTGGAGCTTTCTCTTCTTTGAGCTGAGATGCTTCATAAAAAAAAAAAAAAAAAGCCTGAAAAACAGCCATGAAGAAATTCACGGCAAGTGAATGTGAGTGTGCAAGGAGAGCTGCTGGACAAGGAGACGCAGAATACAGTGGTGGGGAAGGGCTCTGTGACAGTCATTGACATTCTTATTCACTGGGAGGGGTTGGGGTTCTTCCTCCTCCCCCAACAACAACTAACTATAGAACTACAGTAACTATTTGGTGACCATGGCCCACCATATTGGGGTGAGCATCATCAGTTTTTGAAAGAGAGAAGAAAGAGGAGGGGCTCAAGAACATTTACAGAGAATAAATCTTTCCAGCAGGAAAGGCAATTATCTAATTGCTCTGGGAAAGGCACAGAGCACCTTTCTGAGACTGTAAGGATTGCCCAAGACACCACCTGTCTCCAGCATCTTCTGAGCAGCTACACTAAGCCTTTCCTGCCAGAGTCCAGGGTGTGGGAAGGCTGATTTCACAGACTTAGCAACCCGCCCAAAACAAGGCCAGGACTCCCTCCTCTGCCTCACCTCTTCCCCACCTGCTGACCAGGAGAGGGAAGAAGCCACCTGCATACACTTTATGTCCAAAAATACCCCACTTCCCCTGAGCTGAGGCACTTTCAGTAAGTCAAATGTTAGTGCATTTCCTCTGAGTCTCCTGGCCTCCACCCTTTGCCTGGGTTTTAAAATGATAAGCCCTTGCCAAAAATTGCCTGGCACTTTGAATTGTTTTGTAGGCACTTTTTGACTTGTTTCCTAGGCACAGGATAAAAAGCATTTATTTCCATCCTACTGCCAGCACAAACAAGCTTCAACTTAGCAAGACTGTAAGCTCAGTTTGTAATCAGTATTTCTCTTAGTTCTATTTGGAGATGTGTTTCACAACCGTGATCTCACCACACTCAAATTGTCCTGCACTGAGATACCCCGTCATGATTTTCAGTTCCTGAGCCTGCTCTCTACAGCACACATCTCCACATTCAGATTCAGTAGTTGGATACTCCTCAGCAAAGGACCTAAGGCCATGTAGAGGCAGAGAACTCAAAGGGCTTTTGCTACAGTACTCACACCTCCCTTGAGCACCCCCATGGCCTTATTCAGCTGTACGACACTTTCTGGGCTTGTTCAGTGCAAGTCCACAGAACCCTGCCACACAGCTAAGCCATGGGCCACAGACAACTGCACTCCTGGCCCCTGGCCACACAGCTACTGCTCTGAGTGCTCACAGCCCGTGAAGAACCAGTAGATGTGCTGTTGCCTGCATGCAAACAGCCACAGAAGGAAGAGCACAGCAGCGCTTTTGACAGCAGGGTCTCCATGGTCCAAGGCAGAGAGTGAACAGATGCTGTGCTCTCTCTCTCCTCGCCTCTGTGACACCCCGCAGCACATTCCCACCTTCCACCTGCAGCCTTATCTGCAGATGCATGGGCCACGGTGGTGCAGGGTCTGAGACTGTGGCAGAAGGGCATTCTCCAAGGGTGGGAGGCATGAGCACGCTCAGGCCTGTGGCTCTCCTGAAGCCAGAAGCAGGTGTGAGCTAGGTCTTCTCTACTCCCCAACAGGTCCAGGGTCACCTTCTCTGGCCTGTGGCTTGTGGAGCTTTCCGGCAGGTTGCAGTCGCAAAACCAATCAGGTTGAAGGAATGCAACATGCAAAGCATTCTCTTTCCCTGCACTGGTTGGACAGGTTCAGGATTCTCCCAGGATGAGGAAAAGAGCATCCTGGACCAAGAAAGATCCAAACAGAGATCTGCTGATCACCCACTGAGATACCTGTAGCATCCTGTGCAGAATTTGATACTGACTGCTGCCAGACACAACTGGTAAAGAAACAAAGTACTGGTTTGGGTGACTTACAGCTTTTCAAGGGATCACAAACATTAAAAAGTCACAATACAAACAAAAAATCTTACAGTTTCTAGTTTGCATTGCATCTATCAAACCATGATACCTTGAGGACTTTTATAGTGGTAGGTGAAGCGCTTGTTGTTACAGGACTGCTTACAGGACAAGAATTTAGAACAAGATTCTTTTACCAAAGACTCTCCTCCTGTTGGCCCTAAGCACAACCCACACTACTGCTGATTCCTAAAACAAATAAAGGCTTGCACCTTACCTAAGAAGTTCTGCTCCTGCACTTTTTTCCTCTGCAACACACTCTAGAATTTTTTCAGGTGCTGACACTGCACAGCTGACTGATAGTGTCTTTCCTAAAAGATGCTTTTCTGCAGTTCCTGTTTGGTACCTTGTTTGATGTATTCCAAACGAGAGAAACATTGAAAGGAGTCATTTCAGGCAATTTTGATCTTTGTCTTGTTTGCTCCAGGAGAAGACACCTTTCCAGGGATCATTGATATACATGGACTTGGAGGAGGTCTTTTTGAGCCCAGAGCAAGCCTGCTGGCCAATCATGGCTTTGCCACACTCGCCCTGGCTTATTATCAATTTGAGGATCTGCCCCAGGAACCAAAAGAACTCCACCTGGAATATTTTGAAGAGGCAGTGAACTATATGCTGCAGCACCCACAGGTAGGAACACCTGTTTCTTCTGGTTTCTAGGAACTGCTCCTATAAAGTTCTCTCATTTTGCCCAAGTCATCTTTGGAGGAAGCTGCAGAAATACTCACCTGGCAGGGCTGGCCTTTGCAAGGATTTTGGGTGTCCGAGTTCTAGGAAAGAGAAGGGGCAAGTATTCATGCACTGGAAGAGGAGTGGAGAGAGATCACAAAGCAACATCACGAGACAGATCAGATGTAACCAGGTGGGAAGTGTGTGCAGGAGAAAGCCTTCATGAGTTGCTACCAATTGTCCTCCTACAGTTTCAAGAGTAAAAAGTAAAGAGCATCTCCCAGGGTCTAAAACTAATAATTCACAGCTGTGACCTACAAGCTGTCCCCAGATGGATGAAATCATGTCCCCCCACTCCTGGCTGATTTCAGAGCACCAGGGAGCATTCTGCATGTGAGTGGTTTGAAGTACAGTGTGAGGAGGAAGTATAGGGGGTGTGGGAGGGTGTGCCTGTCAATTGTCCAGAAGGAAAAGTAATCATTGCCATGAATTTCTTCATATGGTTTTGGAAACTCTCAGCATTGGACAATCTTCCCCTCCATGAATCAGCTGTTGTGCTTTTCAGCTCAGCACTGATGAGCATTTCCTCCTGTCTCCCAGGTGAAGGGTCCAGGGGTTGGCCTGCTCGGTTTCTCCAAAGGAGGTGAAGTGTCCCTTGCCATGGCTGCCTTCCTGAACAACATCATGGCTGTTGCTTCCCTCAATGCCCCTGTTGCTGCTACTTGTATTCCTTTCTCTTACAAGGATAAAATCATCCCCACTGTGACCTTATATGAACACAAAGCCAAGGCCACCAATTCCAAACTTCTTGATTATTCTGATGTCATCGATGATCCCTTTCAAGCCCCTGGCAACCAAAGCCGGATCCCACTAGAGAAAGCTGAGGCACAGTTTTTATTTATGGTGGGCCAAGATGACCGTGTTGTCAAAAGTGAGTATTATGCCTCTGAAATCTGCAAGCTTCTGCAGGCTCAAGGGAAGGGAAATTTCCAGATTCTCTCCTACCCTGGAACAGGGCACTGCATAGACCCTCCCTTTTTCCCTTTGTACCACACAGGAAGCCACCCTGTTTTCCACAAGCGAGCAGTCCTGGGTGGGGAGCTCAGGGCTCATTCTAAAGCTCAGGTTCATGCTTGGTCACAGATCCAGGCTTTTTTCAAAAAGCATTTAATTGTTAACTAATGTGCAACAAATAATGTGCAAGTAACACGCAATTTTGAGCAACGAGATCTGATAAATTCTGCTACATTTATCAGGTCAAACCTTGTCACAGCTGTACAACTACAGTGTCTTCCATACCTCTGCACATCCATAACACAGAAAATAAAGGGATTTGCCTTTTCTGTTCCCCTCCCAACCTTTTTGCTCAAGTATCAAGAAAAGGAATGGTGTTTTTTGCATTAATCTTTGATGAAACAGGTCATGTGCAAAATGCACAGTTATGTTTCTTCTCGGGTCGTTTCTATTCCTCTAATACTTGACAGTGCTTTCCATGTCACTGTGGTGTCTACGTGCATATGCTGTCCTCAGGTCATACTAATTATCTCTAATGACAATTGTCTCTAATGACAATTTTGGAGCAGCACTGCTCTTCTGGTGACCCTGTCATTGCAATGGAAACATCTCTGACTTCTGTGCTGCTGGAAGTGTGTAAGAATGGCTGCTATGGCCACGATACTGGGCTGTCTCTGGTTAAGGGAAAGGTTGTTTGCCTTTTGTGCCTTCTTTTCATCTTCCCTTCCAAAGGAAGTGCTCTGGCTTGTGGATACTTCTGGCCCCAAGATATCATGCTAACAAACTTTCTGTTGAATTTACAGCCATTTTGATCTTCTCCTACATGATGTGGAACATTTTAATCTTTGTTACTGGGATGAGAATTGTAATAAAGAGACTGAGATTTGAAAGACATGGAGTCTTTTGCTATGCTTTGGTTAGAAGCAGGGTTTGCAGCTTGACTATTTTCTCATCCCAGCGTGAATGCTTAAGAAAGCTTGCAGCAACTTGAGATCAAAGGTTGCCCAGGTGCGAACAGGAGACCATAGACGACAGACACATAGCCCCCTTACCTTCACTGTCTTCCACAGCTCTTGTGTCACCAAGCATGGAGGCGAAGGAATTTTGCTGAAGCCTCCAGGACCCTTTCCCTTAGCATCTGCTCCCACATATGGTCAAGCCCATGATCAAATCCAGTAATGTAAGCCACAGAGTGTTGTTCTCAACAATAGGAATAGTTGCCACCCATTCAGGGCAGACAACATACCCAAATGCTAGATGACAGAACACCTCACCTGTTTGGAGAGAAAGGGTAATTTCCATGGTGAATGAAAGACTGCCCAATATCTCTGACCACTTAATATTTGCAATTAGGGCGATGCTTGACATTTCCTTAGATGCTTCCACTTCTTTCACACCTCTATGACAGACAAAATGAGCTCAGAGCATGAGGCATGCCTGCCTTCATCTCCCAGGAAAAGTGAGAGCTTCAGGAAGCTCTCCCTCTGCAGTTCCTTTTGGATCAGAAGATCCATCTCTGCCTCAGATGGACTGAATGACCCTGTTTTTTAATTCCTTGCACAATCCCTTAGAAGAGCCACGTTTCCTGACCTACCTAAATAGTCTGTGAAAGTGCTCCTCCCTTCTTGCTCCTGCATCCCTGACCACCCTAACCATCCTTTCTAATACACGTGGCTGTGCAGCTGCCTAGGCCGGGCAGAGCCTGGTGGAGACATAACCCACCTTGCCCATGTCTTGGGGTAACAAACAGAGAAGCAGAGCCGGCAAGGAGTCAAGAAGCAATGGCGAGCCTTGTGCTGGTGTGGCTTCTCCCCGCCTCGGCTGGAGCTGGCCCTCGCTGCGGTCCCTTGGCTGAGCGGCACGGCACAGTTCGGCCGTGCCGTGCAGAGCTGTCCCATCTCTGTACGGCCTGTCCCACACTGGCCCTTCCCTGTCCAGTGAATTCCGACTGCGATTCTGCTCGCTGGCTCGTCTTCTCCCCACGTCTCCTGCCCGCAGTCACCGCCCGGCACGGGAGAGCTCGGGGGGACACCAAGGAGCTCGCCGAGTACCAGACGGGTTTCAAGGACTCGGCGGCCTTGGATGAAGCCTCCCACAGCCGGGGAAGGCAGCGGGGGGAAGACAGAAGAGGAGGCGGGCATGCAGGAAAGTAGGGAGGTATGGAAATCGGCACGGAGGAGGGAAGCGGGCGGGCGGGACAAGGGAGCTGCCGCCCCGCTCCTCCCCGCCGGGGCGTGCCAGCGGCACTCCAGGCCCGAGCCCGGCCCTGGTTTCGCGAGGATCTGCCCCAGAATCCGCCCTCAGAGGCCGGAGCGATCCGGAGCTATGTGGCAGGTCAGTGCCCGCTCCCTGAGCCGGGCCAGCTGCCGTGCCTGGCAGAGGCGGCTGCCCTGGCCCGGCCCCGCGCCTGCAGCCCCGCGGAGCCGCGGCCCCGCGTGGAGCCCCGGGACAGCCCCCGCCCAGGGACTCTCCTCCATGGCCCCCTCCATCCGCCTGTCGCCCGCCGCCCGCAGCCTCTTCGATGAGCCGCTGGCCATCGCCGTGCAGGGCCTCGGCCCGCGGCAGCAGGTCACTCTGCGGACGTCCTTGCGGGACGAGACCGGAGAGCTCTTCCAGGCCACTGCCCACTACCAGGCGGGCGACGACGGGCAGCTGGACCTCGCCCGCTGTCCTGCGCTGCCGGGAGGCAGCTTCTCCGGCCTGGAGCCCATGGGGCTGCTCTGGGCTTTGCAGCCCCAGAAGCCTTTCTGGCGGCTGGTAAAGCGGGACGTGCAGAGCCCCTTCCTCCTGCAGCTGGAGGTCTTTGAGGGCCACGGGGAGCGCCCCGGGCGGCTCCTGGCCCAGGCGCAGCACGAGCGGGCGTTCCTGCGGGACGGGGTGCGCAGAGTCCCGGTGCGAGAAGGCAGGATCCGGGCGACGCTTTTCCTGCCCCCCGGTGAGTACCAACTGCAGCCAACCGACTTTCTCTAACCGGTGTTTTGCTGGTGAAAGTTGTTCCATGACCTCTGTGAAGGAGTCCATTAAAGCCCCAGGTCCTTTCCCCCATCCTTCCCTCCCCCCTCCCATGCCAGTGACTATCCTGACCATGCTTCCCAATTCACCTGCCCATGCATGTGCCAGGACACAGTTGCAGAAGGGAGAGGAATAACCATTCTTACTCGGGGCTTGAGGTTAAACAAAAAAAAAAAAGTACCGGCCATGCCGGGCTCCTTCCCCCACGTTGCTACCTCTACTTTCGGCCCCGAACTCGCAGGCTCCCCTGGCGCTCCGCACCAGGCAGAGGACAAGGGGGAGCTGCGTCCCGCCAGTAGGGACGGGACACCCCTCAAGGCGTGGCCTGATCAGCCCCACCAGCTTTGATCTGCTGGCCGTACTCCTCACACGGAACAGCCTCCTGTGGTGTGTCTGTTTAACTGACTTCTACTGCACATGAAGGCATTGATCACAGTACACTTTTTTTGTTCCCAAATGCCATGGGAGGTGGAGTCAGACAGTTTTCAAGGCACCTTTCCTCTATCTGGCTGTTTTCTAGGAAAATCAGGTAGTAATTCTTTTGAGTAAGTGGAAGATGCTCTCCTAAACTGTGGGGTTTGTCTGAGGCTTCCCTTTCCAGCCTCTCCACACACCCTGAACTTAGTAACGTCCTAATTGCTGTAGCCCAAGTTGCCTTTTGCTGCCACATTGTCCCCAGTTCTTCCCTGTTTGTGAGCAGGTCAAGGAAAACATTGGAGAGACTTGCCCTGGCAGTATTTTTGTCAGAAAATAATGAAAAGGGTCTGTGAGGTGTTCAGATTGCCTGACAAATGTTGTGTTGTCCTTCCATCAGCTGTCCAGATTTCTGCTAATTTTCTGTAGGAAGCCTCATTTCTTGCATTCCCTTGGTTCTCTGGTCGCCACACCCCCACCACATCCCACCTTTCCTTCCCTCCCTGATACAGAGGTTTTCACCAAGCATATCTCTGGAACCCCAAGGAGCTATTCTATGTATCACATGCCTTCCCCTCTCCCCTTTCTTTCCTGTCTGTCCCAGATAACTCTTTCATGACAGTGCTGAAATCATATGTGCTGTGCCAGCCAGTGCCCTGGGCTCTGACTGCTCTGACTTCATCTGTCTCCTTGAGGCTGGAGGTGAATTTCTGGTTCTTGCTTGTTAGACATGTTTGATGTTAGTCTGCAGACACCTAAGGGAAGCCTCACCCTCCCTCCTGAGCAGGAATGGAAGTCTCCCTCTTGGCCTCCTCCTTTCCAAACTTGGTTAGTACTTTGCAGTAATCCCTCCCAGCTCTGGACTTCAGTCCCTGTCCCATGATGAACCTAACTTAATGCTTCCCTTACCAGGTAAGCAAGGCTGGTTTCAAATACTTTCTTGTCTTAATCCCAGAATAAATGACTGAGGTGCATTTACACTAAAATTGAGAAGCTGGAACCATCAGAAGATGGGATTTTTTTGGATCAGCCTTCTGAAAAATGCACTAAGGAGAAGCTGCTGGGTATTTCTGAAGCAGAGCATAATACATTTGCAGTGAATTTACATGATACAGAGAACTAATTGTGACTGTCAAAAGATCCCTACTCTTCCAGCTGCTTGTTTCCTGATGTTATCTAAAACATTAGCAGACCTGCTAATTTGTGCTAGTTTGTTTATCTTGAAGCAATGTAGCCATTTCATTAAAACCGTCACAGTAATTTAGGACTCTCAATACCATTCTGCTGCTGTAATTTTTTTTTTAAGACACATTCCCAGACCTATGAATTTGGAATATAAATTAAAAATTGTGGGTTAATGTGTACTGTTACGTGGTCTCTCTCAGGAAGTGGCCCCTTTCCAGGAATCATTGACTTGTATGGAACTGGAGGAGGACTCCCTGAATACAGGGCATGCCTGCTGGCCAACCATGGCTTTGCTGTGCTGGCTCTGGCTTTCTACAGCTATGAAGATCTCCCCAAAGGGATGAAGGAATTCCACCTGGAATATTTTGAAGAAGCTGTAAACTATATGTTACAACACACCCAGGTTGGTTTGTTCATTGACTCTCACTACAGTGAGCTCTCATTAGTTAGGTCCTGTCAGACTACAGATGGGGCAGAGCTGCTGTACTTAAAACAGCATCGCTGTTGAGTTTGCTGTTATTGTTTTATATCTTTAACTCCCATTACAATGGCTCTCTGGCAGATTATTCCAACTCTTCCTTTTGAACTGGCCAAGTGAAACAGTGACACATTGGTCACATACTGGTAATTTCTACTCCATTCAACCCAGTGTCATAACTAGGGTGCTAGTTTCCTGGAGGCTTACTGGACTTGCAGTGGGGATTTTAGATTTATGCTCTGTAGAATGTCCTTCAGAATGAAATGTCCTTTTCAGCTGTGGAGCACATGACAGCCTTCTGTGATCCAGGTCTCAGGGAACCCAAGGAAACTCAAGGAAATCCACCAATACGCATTTGATGCTG